CCGGTCCCGCTTATGATTCTTCTCATAATCGTTCACCATTCCTCGAGTTCGGATTAGGAAAGTAAGGGTCGTCCGGTAAGTAGGATTTTGCTATGCCGTATTTGCGAGAATAGAAGGGGAGGAGATAAGTACTATGCGTCTAACTCTATTATCAATTACTTATAGGGGTGATCCTTATTAGTTACTTCTATAATGACATAGTGCATACTAATTACATATAACAAGATACGATAGACCTTTGAATAAGTGATCCCACTCTAGTCCACATCCAAACAAGGAAAAGGAAGTAAAGTAATGACCACAAATTCTAAGTCTATAATTTCTAAGTTATATATAACCTTAAGTATCCACTTAGGGACTATAGACCTATTAATTAAGGATCTATTTAGTTTTCATATAAGTTATGATATTACAAAATACTCCTATAGTATTTTAAACTCATGTTCTATTCTAATGTTCTCATTGTGGTAGTGTTGGTAAGTTTTAGACTTGTTGCCATATCACAACTATTCTTGGGCATGTGCTAATCACTCCTCGGACCAGCATAGTTGATCAGGCTATGCCACTCCCAAGACTGACCATACATCCCCGAGCTTACCTGTGATATTCAACAATCATTACTTTTCTTTTATTCTAGAGTGGTGCTGACCTTAATATGTATGTATGCATGTATACCTTTAATAAGAAACTATTTATTTCTAAAAGTATAGTTGTTTTGAAACTTTAAATCAGAGACTTAGTCCCAATGCATTTATAGTTTGTATATCTTATGTGGTTTGATATACTGAGTTCACTATAAACAATGCTCTGATACCAATCTGTCACACCCCCAAACCAAGGATGGCGGAAACGTCCGGGGGTGGAGGACTTCATGTAGAGTATCACAACAAAGAGTATAATAGTGCTCAAAGTAAATACAACCAACACAAATATAATTGAAAACGTTACATCAAAGCACATGTTTACATGATTCCCATCAATTACATTATAATACAAAATGAACTGTTTGACGATTTATCGTCCCATCCTCAAAACGTTGTTGATTTCCTGTTTTCACTGAATTCCTGAGAATACAAGTAGTTTTGAAAAGTGTCAACACAAAGGTTGGTGAGTTCATAAGAAATTTCGTTGGAAAAGTAAATCGTTTTCCTTGTAAAAGCGTTACAATATGCATCCAGAAAATCCGATATTTTCTTTAAAATCTGCGTAATGTAGTCTTATGACTGAAGACCAAAATGTATAAGTAACCTTTCTTATTAATTAGAAAATGTTATGTACTTAAATGGACATGGACGCGTTTGAATTAAATGAAATTTCTGTATGTTCTCATGTTCGTTAATACTTTATATATATGTAGTCCTAAATTAGAGGACCGAGAAATAACAAGTATTGACCATACTTAAAAGTATAAATGTGGTTTCAAATGATGTGTAGTCGTAACTACCAAAACCAAAAGTGTACAGTAATATCTGTACTCATAGAGATAAAAAGTGATTTTTAAATCGACATAAAACTCATTTAGGTTTTAAAAATAAAATCCCGTAAACTTATGGATTGTTATATCCCTATGTGAGTCGCTATAATCATACTATGACTATGTGAACCTGCCACGACGTTCTCAGTGTCGCGAAAAATAAAATGACATTTGTCACCCGTAGACCTGCAGGTCCAACTGTAGCTAGCAGCAAGGTGTGGGGTGTCAAACCCAATATAGATCTATATACAAGTATCACGTTCTCCCTCAAGGAGATTCTGATTATAACTACCAGGAATTATATCCCGCACTCGGACGTACGGGGAGAGAGAGAGAGAGTCTCACAATATAGGTTAACAAGTTTACGTGAAATGTGTGTGAATATAAATCTTTCTTGTATGAATGTACCCTTTTTGTACGAGTGTGTTGAGTGATGTATCATAAACTATACCTATTATAGTTTATCTAAAATGTATGTAATATGTATGAATTCTTTTATGGAAATGTATTAGTGTTGTGAATTTATCAAACTATAGGTAAACAACTTTACGTGAAATATGTGTGAATATAAATCTTTCTTGTATGAATGTACCCTTTTTGTACGAGTGTGTTGAGTGATGTATCATAAACTATACCTATTATAATTTATCTAAAATGTATGTAATATGTATGAATTCTTTTATAGAAATGTATTAGTGTTATGAATTTATCAAACTATACTTTTTATAGTTTAATATACGTGTTCTAAAATGAATGAAATATATTTATTATGAATGACTTAGTTTCAGTTCATGATGATAAACTAACAAAGAAACACATTCAATAATTAGAGCTTATGATTATACACTTTGCTCAACATATTACAAAGTGTTATGATATTTAATGCTGTTGGCTAAATTTAGCAATTCTGCCCTGTTTTGGAAAAATCATAGAAAAATCATACGAAGTCGAAAACTAGATCCGTAAATTCTGAGAGTTCACAAAATGTGTCTAGTTTACTCATAATTTTTATCACGATTTTTAATGACCTCCAACTTGGGTGAAAAAGTCCACAATCACAGACTGGTCCGGATTGTTGTTTGAAATGATAGGCAGTTTTGTAAAAATCACCATAAATTGTAGAAAAATCGTATGGAGATGTGCAAAGTAGTCATTTTAAAGCTAAAAACTTGAACTATTTGCACCTTGTACAGTTTTGAAAACAAAAATGTTTAAGATGCCCAAAACAGTCCGTGAATGGAGTTGAACTTTTCTGATGAAGGCTGTTAGAAAATTTTAGTTATGTTCTTAGTGTTTTAACTTGTATTCCCCCCTGAAAACTTGAGAAAACATAAAAATGTAGGGGTATGAACTCACCTTGAGTGATTTCAGTAGATAAGTGTTGAAGAAGAGAAGTGTTCAACCCAAGAACACTTGAAGAATCACTTGAAGATTCGAAGCTCTAACGCTAATATGATGGAGTTTGTGTAAGATATCCATGATTTGAGTGGAAATAAGTGAGATAATCATAAGGAGGATGAATTATACTTACTAAGAGTGGAAGAACACTTGATAATCAGCCTTGAATCTCGAGTTTGGTGGAGAAAAAGTTTGAGAGAAAAGTGGTGTTTGATACTTAGTGAAATGGGAGAAAATGAGAGAAATGAGGAGAGAGGATGTTTGTTCCAGCTCAAAAACGTGGGAATGAGTGTAAATTGGGTGTGAGGGACATTGAAGTGACCTAGGTAAGGTGGGGAGGTGTGGTTAGTCAAAGAGTGGGTGTGGGGTGGTTGCTTGTGACATTGGATAAGGCAAAGTCAACACTCCACCTTTAATAATTCCCCATTGATTTTTATTATTTAAATAATGATTTTCATCAAAATATGTTTAAATTATGAATATTTAGAGTTTATTATGTTAAAATATAATTTCTGGAGAAAATCCCGCTTTAAAATCACGAAAAACGGGCTTAAAATGTTAAAAATATCAAAAATGGGCTAAAAGTGACAATTTCCCGAAGTTTGGCCGAGGTTCGGCCTTCTGGTGCTGAACCGAGAGAGAGGGAGGCAGAAACCGAGAGGGAAGAAGAAGGAGGGAAGGAACAGAGAGGGGAGAAGAGAGAACAGAGGGGCGCGAGTAGAGACAGAGCGAGAGAAGGGATGAGACAGAGAGGCGGAACAGATGAGGCGACCGAGAACCGAGGCTTGGTCCTCGCGCCCTTAGCCAATAGAGGCTCGGTTCGGAGATAGAAGGCGAGAAGTCAAAAAAAACCGAATGAACTGTAGTGAACAGTACCTTCGGTTCGGTTCAGCAGCCTTCTTCATCAGGAGGGTTCGGTTCCTAAGAGGGGTTTCGGTTCCTAAGATTTCGTTTTTTTTTCGCGTTTTCGCCCCGTTTTAAGCCGTTTTTGACCCGGTTAAGGCCGGAATGACCCGAATGATTCTAAAAAGTTACGGGAACTATTTGAGGAGATTTGGGAGAGATTTCTCACACTTGGAGAGATTTGGGAGAGATTTGACATTCTTGGAGAGATTTCTCATACACAGAGATATTTGCGAGAGTTTTCACATACTTGGAGAGATTTGGGAGAGATTTGACATTCTTGGAGAGATTTCTCATACAGAGAGATATTTGAGAGAGATTTCACATACTTGGAGAGATTTGGGAGAGATTTGACATTCTTGGAGAGATTTCTCATACAGAGAGATATTTGAGAGAGATTTCACATACTTAGAGGGATTTGGGAGAGATTCGACATTCTTGGAGAGATTTCTAATACAGAGAGATATTTGAGAGAGATTTCACATACTTGGAGAGATTTGGGAGAGATTTGACATAGAGAGAGAGATAGAGTGAAAACGATTGAGAGAGGATCCATGTGTGACAATTGTGAGTGTCCGGCATCGCAATGCATGGTTCGTAAACCCTGTTAAGCCTTGTTTAAGGATCTTACACACTCCCGATGAGTATGCATCATTGTTTTATCGGTTTGGCTCGCCACGTACTACAGTTTTTGGTTAAGGAGATCTAGATGTTCGCACTTTTTGTTTTATGATTTCTCATTAGAATAGAAGTTATGTAGAAGTTTCATAGTGTGAATTTTAGTACTCATGGGCAAATTGAGTCAAACGGTTTGACTTGCTGACTTTAGTTGACTTTGACTTGATCGAAATTTGACGGTTGTCACAATCAATGTCTCTCACACTTCAGATGTCTTCCTCTTTTTCCTTTTCCTCTTCTCTCTCTGAATATTGACGACTTTCTAAGCCGAAGTTGGAAGATAATCGAGCCAGTGAATGAGCGACAGTTGACTCTAGGAAAAGATATGCAACTGATTTGCTAGATGGAAAGTAAGTTCTTAATTAGTTAAAGCTAAGGGTAGTTGAGTAATTTTACATATAGCTCAGTAATCAATTCTCTTATATCAGCATGCTTCTTGATTTTTCCTAATCATATATTATTGACCGTAATGGCATGTGCAGTTCATTGATTTTGACGGAATTAAAATCTAATATTCCATTCCATAGCATGTTTTGTTTCTAAATGGATGGAAATTCAATTGCAGCAGAATCCTCTAGGTAATACTTATTCATCTTTGTGGTCAGGTTTGTATCTGCAAGCGACCAATAATGGATCAATCATCCATGATGATGAGTTTGGTCTCGAAATAATGACCCTCTTTTGATTTACATGTTCATTTAGATGCTACTGGAGTTTAAATAGCAAAATAGTTCGTTCAGGTACTTCTTACATTTGTTTTCCGGTCACTATTATTGCTAATTTATGTCCCTTTTAAATGTTGTGGTTGGGATATTATGTTGCAACCAAGATTAGAATTAACTTAATTGTTTTAAAGTCCTTGTGTTCAACTTTCTTTTTTCTTCTAACTTGGATGTGATTTGGCTTTAGCAGGTTACTGATGTTAAGCTTTTGAATACTTTTTTTTTTTTTTTTTTTTAATGAGGTTTGAGCTTATCTGAATGAGGTAATTAAAGCATTTAACTTCATTTTTACTATGAATCATGTTCTTCATGTATAGTTACAAAAATGCTATTGGTATACAAAGCTATTTCGTATGGTGGAATCAAGGAAGGAATGTAATCATATTATCCATTATGAGGCACGTGAGATGAAGAAAGAGATCAATTATGTTTTGGAATGTATTTTTTTACTGCCAGAAATAGTTGTAGTTTCCTTATAATTGACATGGTGTTATATTGTGTTTTCAAATAATATCATTGTATTTTATACCATTCAATGTAGTTAATGTCAATTCCTTTAGCTTGTATATATGCTCATTAAATTACTTATTTTGTCCATGTGGTTAGCAATATTTTTCGTTAATAGACGAGTTCATTGCGTTATCTTCTTTGGCTAAAACACTGAGAGTATAGGATATACCAAATCTTTTATTTATTTTTTTCAAAGTATGTTCCTGTGCAGAAAAGGATTACAAAAGTAGTCTAAAAATAATTACATAATTGGTTTTTATGGCACAAAAACATTACAGAATTGGTCACTAGTCACTGTGCAGAAAAGATTATATAATTGGTCCCTGTGGCAGAAATGAATTACAAAATTGGTCTATGTTGCAGAAAAAGATCGCATAATTAGTCCTTGTGGCAAGACAAACTCATGTAATTGGACTGACTAGCAGAAAAACAATATAGTAATGGTCTCGGTCGAGAAAATAATATTAGAATATTGTACTTAGGTAGATTTTCGAGTCATAGTTGAAATGATAAGTCTAACCTCCATCTAATGTATTATAAAGAATCTCATGTGCACTTTTTTTTAAAGTTCATTTCAACATCCTAGAAGAAAGAAGAAGGGTATAAATGGGAATTTATAAACTATTGAATTTTCATATCTTAGGTTTCTTGAAAAATTAGGAATATTTTGATCAATAAAAGGAAGAGTCCCACCAAGAAGAGCATACAAGGTAACACTACACCTTCGTACATATACTCAAGCATTGCATTAAACTGATTAATCGAACGATGAATGGAAAATGATTACCTGTTTAACCAAACAACAAGCGGAAAAGTGATTATGACCAATCAATTAAACAAAACTTTAACTGGTTGTGGTTTTGTTCACCAACAAACAAAACCTAAACTCAATACCTTAAACCAATATCGAAACAAACTATTCTTCACCGCAGCTTTGCGCGGGTATATATATATATATATATATATATATATAATATATATATATATATATATATATATATATATATATATATATATATATATATATATACAACAACATTTCCTTAAAACTTTACGATAAATACAAACATCATGACAATCGAAATTTTTAAAACCTTACTCAACGATGAATAACTTTGTAATTCACAAAACGTTATAATAGAGAGAGAAAAACATAATAAAGATAAACAGAAACGAACATAAATGTCCTGGCATCGCATGCAAAGCACATGAGGCTAATTAACTGTTCAATGCAAATACTGAATATAAACTGGTAAATAAATAAGTTTTATTTGTTATTATTATTATTATTTTTTTATAAATAGATTCCTTTTTAACTCATTTCTTTTATCATTTGTTCGCTGAAGAGTTTGGGAGACTGTTGATTTGTCGGAGACTCTTGTCAATCGGAGAATGAAATGAGCTGCGAAGGTATGTTAGAAAGTTCTAGAACACCTTTCACTTCTCTTAGGGTTTTTGTCGTACATTTGTACTCTAATTTGTCAAATCGACTGAAACACCGAAATCGTTGAAACTCTTTTTATCAAACCCCATCACCATTTTTCATTTCCTCACTCTCTTCCTTCTACTGTTTCAGTTTTGGTATCATATAATGTATAGCTCTGTCTCTGTGCGTGGAATTTCTATGTAAAGAACCGCAAGCTAAAACGTGGTCTATTTATCTACCGGAATTGAAAATTTGGACGGAATTGTAGAATCGAGAGTGATTAAAGGTATGTAATGTTCAAAATCATCTGCTCTTAGTTCATCATAATTCACAAATTTGACCTAAACTTTGTAAAAACCCTATAGTTGGTTACCAGCATTGTCTGTTTTTCTCTTCTTAGTGTCTTCTTTTCCCCCCGGTTTTGTTAGCATATAATGTACGCATACCTGCATAAGTATTCAAAATTCTGCAAATTTTGATCTAATTATTCATTTGAGTTGCTGAATTTTAGAATTGAGGTCGATCAAAGTATGTAAGGTTAAGTGGGTTTGATTGCTTTAGTTTTATCGACTTCTACCGGTTCTAAAATGGGGTACGAGACCTTTTCAAGCCCTAATAAACTTCAACCCTTCATTGCTTTTGATCTTTTATATTGTGTTAAACATTTTTGTTCTAATTTGTCATGTTGGCTTAGAATTTGTATCTTCAATGAAATGTAAGTTAAACTCTCATCTAGCATCTGTTTGTTTTTCCTCTTTTTAGGGTTTTCGGTTTAGGTACATGACATCATGAGCTTAAATGTCTTCTTTTTTTCTTTTCTGATATATATTTCTTTTGGTTTGACTTAATCTAGGGTCAATGGACATAGATTTGTCAATGGAGGTTAGTCCCACTGAGGAGACTGTTGAAGCATTAATGGAGTATTTGGTGGGTCCATTGCTACCTTTGAAGCATAGTGACACTGCAAAAGACACTCCTTCTCAATCTCAACAAAAATCCGTTGCCAAACAGGTCCCTCCCTTCTATCTTCCACTTTCTCTTGCTTATTGGAAAAGACATAAATGCCCTTCTACTTAATTCTGTATTGGTTTTCATTTCTTTTCAGGTTCATGCTGCTGCAGTACTTTACAACTATTATCATCTAAACCAACAACACCAAGAAAAAGAATTCTTAAAGTTTGACCAATTTTGCAACTTGGCAATAATGTTCAAACCAAGCATACTTCAACACATGAAATACATGACTCAATCTAATCGCCCAACCATAAAAGAACCTGAAAACCAGCTTTCATTAACTGAAAAAGCAATCATGGATGCATGCACAATATCAGAAACTTTGCTACATGCTTCATCTGATATCTCAAATATGATAAAAGAATGGCCAATAACTAAAGTGGCTATCTTTTTGATAGATTCCAAGAAAGAGAATTGCTTTCTACAGTTTGATAATGGAGTATGGTCAGTTATCGAAAAGGATCTTTATAGTGAAGAGAGTGGAATTGAGAACGAGGGTAAAAAGGGTAAAAAAAGAAAATTGTCAAAGCTGAGAAAGTATGATGAAGAAGGTGAAAACGAGTTGCAGAAGGTTGCGTTTTCAGCTGTTAAGGAAATAGCAGGTAGCAAAACGTACTTAAAAATTTTTTTTTTAAATAATTTGGGACAAATTTAACTGAAGTTTTTCAATTTCATCAAAACAACAATAACATGCATACAGTTTTATGTTCTTATGACAATTCAACAAAAGTTTATTGATACTTGATATGATTTTTTACATTGAAACAGGAATCAATAGTGAGCTTAAAGTTTTAGAAGACCATGTAGTTTATTCACTGAGTCAAGCAAAAACTGCAACTCATTTTTACATACTTCAAAGTACACAATCAATTAATGAGGATAAATTGGTTCCTATTCAAGATGCTATTTCTAGGTCAGTATTACTTTATAACTTCTTGTGTGCTACTTAACAATATTAAAATAACGTTACAAGTTTTTTAAAAATAAAACAATGAGGGTATACTTGTAAAATTGTAATTTGTGTGTTTTTATTGTGTAGCTTACATGGCCCTGTAGTAAAGAAGAGTTCAGGGAGTTGGGTAATTACTCCTGTTGTTGAGTATTATTACCTTCTTCCATATGCTGAAATTATTTCCAATTGGTTTAAAAGGTAACTTATTTTTCTATCAAGATTCATATATGGTATATACATGGTTGACTTATTTGTAATATTTAGTGTGTTGAATATGATTCTAAACCTTAAAAAATGATCCTTTTTGAATAAAGCGATTAGTGAATAAATATATAGGAATCATTAAATTTGTTCCCTAATTATAAATCCTGCAGATCAAATGGATTAACGGATCAGATGGAAGAGGGAACTGCAGATTCAAAAAAAAATCAGGGGTTACAAAAGTCAACTGAAAAACAAGGTGGTCAAAGTAAACGACAAATAAAGTCAAAGATGGAGTCCAAAAGCATTCACATGAGTAACTCTAATAAAAAAGATGAAGACAGAGTTACTAAAACAAGAAGTATATCCAACAAAGACATGAAAACTGAAAATTCTAATGGAAAAAAGACGTTGAGTGTTGAAAGTGATTGTTCAAAGCAGAAAGAAGAAGTGAATGGATCTTGTGGAGTTAAGTCAAATGATTCATTAACTGAATCCAATAATAATAATAATAATAATAATATTACTAAGCCAATAGTTTGTTTGCAAAAAGAAATTCAAAATGCTAAAACGCATTCAACAACAACACCACTTAAGGTTTATCATCATGAAAAAAGAACAACTCCAACGAATGCTATCAGCATAAAGGTGAGTGAAACTAATTGCATTTTTAGAAAAAAAAAATTATGCAACTTTTTTATTTTATTTTTTTGGTTATTGTTAGGATAATGTGAAGAACTTGAAAAACGTGTCAATCGTTAATGAATGCAAAGATAAAAGGGTTGATGGTGAAAAGAAATCTGGTATTGTTTCACTTTGTGAGGATAAAAGTACAATGCTAAAACTGGATGCTGACGTGGCAAAAACCGAACCCCTTGGAAATTTTCATTTCATAGTTGATTCAAAGAGATCTGAATTATCAGAGGCTGCCCTTCGAGCTCTTTTTAACAAAAGACAAAAACTGGTTTGCTTTTTATACTTACCATTTATATATATATATATATATATATAATATATATATATATATATATATATATATATATATAATATATATATATATATATATAGGTAAAGGTTCAAATGAGAACCAAAAAAGGTTAAGAACCATAAGAACCTTTAATTTTAGATGTTTATAAAGGGTTTAGGGTTTAGGGTTTAGAGTTTAGGGTGTTTATAAAGGGTTTAGGGTTTAGGGGTTAAGGTTTAGGGGTTAGGGTTTAGGGTGTTTATAAAGGGTTTAGGGTTACCCTAAACCCTTTATAAACATCTAAAGTTAGAGGTTCTTATGGTTCTTAACCTTTTTTGGTTCTCATTTGAACCACTCCTTATATATATATATATATATATATATATATATATATATATATATATATATATATATATTGTGTAGTTTAATTGAAATGTTAATAATGGCTTTTATTATTTTTGTAGTCTAATCAACAACGGAATATAGAAGATGAGTTGAGTTTGTGTGAGAAAAAGATTCAGGCAATTATGGAGGGTGGTATGCTTTTTTTTATTATTGGTTTTAGTGGCTTAAGTATTTAGACTTTTTTAATTTTTTTTTATTATATATGTTTAAAATTGAATAATAGGTATAGGAGATTGTTTGGGTTTAAAACTAGAGGCTGTTATTGATTGTTGCAATGAGATTTGCCAACAAAGCAACATGCAAATTCAAGACTTGAAAGTCGGTAGAAGCTTGCCTTTGTCTGAAGCCCAACTCACTTTACGAAAAGCATGCGAGGTACTCTTCACTCTTCTCTATATTTTTTTTTTTTTTAATTTTTTTTAACACTATAACAACATTCTATTTATTTATTTATTTATTGGGTAGGAATTGGATGATATTTGTCTATCAAACAGTTGGATGTTGCCAACATATCATATGTCACGTTCAGATGGTAAGATTTTTCTTTTCTTTGCACTTTGTTATTTAAAAGAAAGAAAACATTGTTGCGTAAATTGTTTTAAAAAAAAACGTAAAAAATTGGTGAATTGATGTGTAGGTGGGTTTGTGGCGAATGTAAGTGTAAAAGGAAGTGATTTTGAGTGTTCTGGTGTGAGTGGTATGCAACAAAGTATTCGTGAAGCCAGAAACTCAGCTGCAACTCACGTGATCACCAAATTGCAGCAAATGGCTCTTAACCACACCGCTACTATTCTTTAGTGTAAAACATTTGTGACTCTGACTGATTCAGTGAGTGATAAATAATTTAATTGTAATTTCTAATTTTAAGTGCCCTTGAAAGATGTAGGAACCATGTAAAGGGAACACTTCGCTGTATTGTTTATTTGCATCTATTTTTTTTTTTTTACAAGTATGTGAATATGGAGTTTGACATATTAAAAGTCTCGTAAGTGGCTAAATTGATAATATGTTGAAAATACATTGTGTTTCATCAAACTAAAAGGACTAAAAGACCAATAAGTTTAATTGGTTAAAGCATGTTAAAAGTTAAAATTATCAACGCCTCTTTACTGTTTTTTCGTTAAGTATTATAATAGTAAACGTACTTTTAGGTTTACGTTTACGTTGTCTTGTAAATGTTGTAGTGAATTTTTATTTGTGTTGCATTTGTCAATATTTTTTTATGAAAAAAAACAATAAACTAAAAAACAACCCGAACATGATTTTTTTTTTTCAAATATTTTGGTTGAGTTTGGGTTTAAGTCAAAAAATGGTCCAAAAAGTTGACTTTTTATTCGTTTCTACTTTTAAAACGAATCGGAAGTTGTTTGGGTTTAAAACTAGAGGGTGTTATTGATTGTTGCAAACGAGGTTTGCCAACAAGGCAACATGCAAATTCAAGAAAATCGTGCAAGGTACTACTTTCCCACTTAAACAAGAAATAGCAACTTACTTTTATTTGTCTATTATAGCATCCTACTTCCAATTTTTTTCTGCTTTTGCCTATTAGTTTATTTTACCATTCAACTTTTATTTCTTCCAATTAAAACATTGTACTATGAAGCATCTACCTGGTTATAGCAATGTCATTAAAATACCAAGCAATTTGCACTACTATAATTGCATAGATTTTTCTAAGTTGTAATAAGAAAATAAATATTGAAAGTACAACGCTTTAATTGGGTAAAAAAACCAAACTGAACCAAATGATGTTTGGTTTATTTGGTTCGGATTATCTGGTTTTTGGTTAATTCAGTTTGGTTAACCGAATAAGGATACTTTATTTGGTTTTGGTTCTGGTTAAATTTTAATTGTTTTCGTTAAACTAAAAAAACCGAATATATATATATATATATATATATATATATATATATATATATATATATATATATATATATATATATATATATATATATATATATATATATATATATATATATATAACAGGCTAACAGCCCTATATAACCTTAGCTACTAAACCCATCAAAACTACCTCGTTTTGCTAGAGTATATTCCAAAAAAATGGCTGTGTGATTTCCTAAACAAAAAACTCATCCTCCCATAGTAATACGTGCTTTTTTTTCAATAGATTTTCCTGACTGTTCCTACTTCTTTTTTTGGTTCGTGAATTGCATCTAGTTCGTCCCACTCTTGCTGAATCTCTATCTGCTGCGTGATTTTCTTCTAATCAGGTTTGTATTTTTTTTTTCAATTTTTTTTTTCTTGTAATTCTTCTAAGAAATCACGTATTGTTTAATTTTTTTTGTATTTCGTCAATTAAGTTTTGTTCGTGAATTGCATCTGGTTCGTCCCATTCTTGGTGAATCCTCATTCTACTGCGTGATTTTATTCTGATCAGGATTGTGATTTTATTTTCATCTTTTTTACGTGATTTTCTTCTAACAAATTGATTCTGATTGATTTGGTTCTATTTCGTCAATTAAGTCAATTTTGTGAACTGCATATGGGTCTTTCTTGCTACGGTTGAATCTCATTGTATTAAGCTTGTGATTGAGTTCGTGAGATCTTTGTACAATGATTTGTAATTTTTTTTTCAGAAATTTTACTTACGTAGGGGTGTACTTTGTGTTATGCACTATTAGTTCTCTTGCACTTATAAACGAGTTTTCCTGCTCAGACAACTTTATACATTAACATCCAAACACTTTATACCTCATCTTTTTTACTTTTTAATGACATACAACTTCATATATAAGTTTTTAACTAATTAACTTAGGTACTATAGTTATATATTGAAGTTGGGTAAATCTGATTCCTTTTTATAATCGTTGAATTTGGGCATCATCCTTAACCTAATAAACTAATAAGCACTTCTGATTTTTTTTTTTCAAAAGATACATAACAACACCACTTCTTGAATTTGTTCTACAAAGTCAATTTTATTGATTTTCTAAATGTCAATTTTGTTTTGGTGAATTTGGTTTATTCCTAGTGTCGAGTTTGATATGATTCGTGATTATTCATATTTATGTCAATTTTTATATGTAATGTTCCATTCTTACTTGATCAATGATAATTTCAATGTTAAATAATACATTGTTTCCTTTTGTACAGTACATGATGTTTGAAACTGAAGTAAATGTTCACCCTATCGAAACACATATAGTTGAAAATGTTGCTGCAAATGATTTATCAAATGCCACATATGAATCTGAAAAAATAGACGGAGTTGATGTGAACTTCGAATGTGAAAAAGATGAAAGCATAGTGGGAAAGGTTTTCGATACGATTGATGATGCGTATAACTTTTTATAATGATTATGCATTTGTACATGGATTTGGAATACGTATTCATACTACATTCAAAAATAAGGGGACAAATGAACCTTATCGAAAGATACTTGTATGCGACAAAGAAGGTTTTAAACGAGAGGATGGTGATACTTCAAGTGGGCATGAAAAAAAACATCGTAGAGAAGTTAAAATTGGATGCAAAGCAATGCTTCGAATTTCAAAAAAGAATGATGGGAAATGGTTTGTTGAGTTGTTTGATGACATGCTCAATCACGAATTGAGCAGCACACCAACGAAGGTGATGAAGCATCGGTCACATGTGAAGTTCCACCGTACAACAGTATGTAAATCTCTCATGCTGAAACTTAATCAATTAGGGTTGAAACCTTCTCAAATTAAAAAAGCTATTAATGCAATGAAAACCTCAAATGAAGTTGATGTAACTTCAAAACAATGTGTTGATGTATTATCTGAGCAACGAAAACACAACAGAGGAAGGGAGTTCTATGGACTAATAAAACATCTGCAAGATAAAGCATTATTGGATAATGATCAGTATTATGTTGTGGATTTGTGCAGTGATGGGTATCCTAGAAATATTTTTTGGGCCGGTGGTAGATCAAGAGACGATTTTACTAAATTTGGAGATGTTGTTGTGTTTGATGTCACTTATATGACAAATAAATTCAAGATGCCTTTTGCTCCATTTACTGGGGTGAACCATCATGGACATTCTATACGTTTTGGTGGAGCATTGCTAGAAAATGAAAAGGAAGAAACTTTTGTATGGTTGTTTGAGCCTTTCCTAAAATGTATGTTTAGCAAGTATCCGAAGGCTATTATTACTGATCAAGACAAAGATATGGGAAATGCAATAAAAAAGTGTTCCCAAACGCTCGACATTGCTTTTGTGCATGGCATATAAAAAAGCATGAATTGGATCACCTTCGACCGTACGTTGCCCGTTATAGTGATTTTCAAGAATCCTATAAAGAATGGGTAATGAGTGACACAATTGAAGAATTTGAAACTAGGTGAGAAGTTATACGTGATAAGTATAAACTTGAAAACATTTGTTGGATAACTGATATGTATAACCAACGAATACATTAGGGTAAAGCCTTCTTAAAGAATATTTTCTTGGCCGATATGTCAATAAGTGGACGAAGTGAGACTATTAATTCCTTTTTTTGATGATTTTGTTAACGCGAGTACCATGTTGAATGAATTTTTAGTACAATATGACAAAGCAGTTACGTCACGAAGGGTCGCCGAAGAAGATGAAGATTTCAAGACAATGAACTCAAGGTCGGTTCTTTCCTCAATACATCCAATAGAAGCAAAAGCAGGTGAGTGTTATACTAGAAAGGTTTAGGGCCGCCGAAGAAGATGAAGATTTCAAGACAATGAACTCAAGGTCGGTTCTTTCCTCAATACATCCAATAGAAGCAAAAGCAGGTGAGTGTTATACTAGAAAGGTTTTTGAGATTTTCAAAAAAAGAATGGATAGAAGCTACTAGCAATTTAACGCATGAGACTCTAAGCAAAAAGTACATAAGAAATCAAGTATCGAGTTGGGAAACTGGACGTTGACAAAAATTATTGGCAAATTGTTACCTTTTGTTTGTCAAATAATATGCATGTCACATGTTCTTGTGCTAAGTATGAGACATGTGGGATTTTATGCAAACATAGCTTATACGTGATTAAGAAAAGGCATGTTGACACACTTCCGACTCACTACATTTTACCTAGGTGGAACCTTAATGCTAGGTACAAGGTGGGTAAGCGTAGCATTGGACTCGAAGAAATGAATAACAGAAATAGGGTTATTGATTTGACGGTATGGTGTGTTCGTTCAAATTTTAATAAAGTAATTGAACAAGCAAAAGACTCCCCTTCAGAAATAGAAAAGGTCAATAACATATTGATAAAGCTCTTACAAGATCAAGCAATACAAAAAAAGTCGTTACCAGTTGACGGTATGGTGTGTTCGTTCAAATTTTAATAAAGTAATTGAACAAGCAAAAGACTCCCCTTCAAAAATAGAAAAGGTCAATAACATATTGATAAAGCTCTTACAGGATCAAGCAATACAGAAAAAGTCGTTACCAGTTGAGAATGTATCTCAAGGTCCTAGTGTGAGAATTTCACAAGTCGATATGATGCCTCAGTTATCTGTCCGGGATCCTCTTGGTCCAACTAACACGAAAGGGCGTCCTAAAATTGCTAGTAGAATCAAGTCTTCTTTAGAAGTTCCAAAAAAAAGAACACGCTCTTACTGTCAAGGATTGGGTCATTATGCTACTAGTTGTTCTAAAAGAAAGGTACTTATAGTATTAACTTACTTTTTCATGATTTTAGAGTTCTTATATGTATACAATAACCAATTTATATTTTCATGTAACAGGTAGATGAATCATTGCAAGAGAAACAATGATATATGTAGTTTATGTGAGAAAAGAAAAAATCTAGATGGTTCACAACATTTTGTTTTGGTTAATTGTCGTCTTTTTCCAATTTTTGGTTAATATTCCTTTTTTCTAGTTTTGGTTAATTGTCTTTTTTTTAGTTTTGGAGATAAATCGTGTATGCTGCTGTTTTGGAATGAAAATTTTGAATGGTTACTGCTATTATGTGTAAAAATGAAATTACGGGGGTACTATGTGTATACAATGAAAGTTTGATGCTATTATATGTTAAAAATTAAAGTACGGGGGTATTATGTGTAAAAAATTAAAGTACGATGCCATTATATGTGAAAGATGAAAGTACGGGTGTATTATGTGTAAAAAATGAAAGTATGATGCTATTATGTGATAATAATGAAAGTACGGGGGTATTATTTGTAAAAAATGAAAATACTATGCTATTATGTGTATACAATAAAATTTTGATGTTATTATATGTTAAAAATGAAAGTACGGGGGTATTATGTGTAAAAAGTTAAAGTACGATGCCATTATATATAAAGATGAAAGTACGTGGGCATTATGTATAAAAAATAAAACTACGATGCTATTATGTGTTAAAAATGAAAGTACGGGGGTATTATTAGTAAAAAATGAAAGTACGATGCTATTATGTGTATACAATATATGGTTGATGTTATTATATGTTAAAAATGAAAGTACGGGGGTATTATGTGTAAAAAGTTAAAGTGCGATGCCATTATATGTAAAAAATGAAAGTACAGGGGTATTATGTGTAAAAAATAAAACTACGATGCTATTATGTGTTAAAAATGAAAGTACGGGGGTATTATTAGTAAAAAATGAAAGTACGATGATATTATGTGTATACAATGAAAGTTTGATGCTATTATATAATCTTTAATGCCAGTTTTACAAAGGAATTTGACTGAAAATAACATCAACCTTTTATTGTATCCAAGTGTATGCGATAGACTGGAATTCGCTATTCCAATTCCTTTGAATTATGTCATAATCAGAAAATTAAATGGACTGTAGGCGTTTTCATCATTTGGTACACTCACACTCATTTACATCAATTGGACCATTTATGAATGTTATGAAAATATAATGATGCATTATGCAGAAATCAAACTGGACTATTCATACCATTTATAAAAGTAGAATGATGTTAAATAGAAGTGAATACAATCAACTTCTCTCAATTGTTCTAACTTTCTCTCAACTGATCTAACTTTCTTGTTGTCTCCCTCAACCCAAATCTGAGTTCTATTCAACAAACTTCTTTCATAATCTGGTTGATACTTCTCCTCACTTGCATCATCATCTTCTATTGACTGTTTTTCCCTTTTTACCCTTCCTTTTGTATGTGTAATGTAATGGTGGCATAGCACAAACTTTCCCAGGCAACCTGTAGATCTGATCATTTGAATTTACAAAAACAATTAGTGATAAACTCTAAAGTTTATGCCACATTCACGGTACACACTCCTAGGCCTGTCAAATCGGACTGTCGTGTCGTGTTTTTGTCTGACACGACACGACACGACAAGGTTTTTTGTAACACGAACACGACACGACACGATCTCGTGTTTTTTTTCACTAACACGAAAACGAACCAATTAAAAAATGACAACACGACACGACACGACAAAGATAATATTACATAACTATTATTTTATTTAATTCATATTTAATCATATATAACACGATACAAACGACAAACACGAAAACACGACAAATACATGCTCAATCGTGTCAATTTCGTGTGGATTTGCAAACACGAACACGACACGACACGACATCGTGTTTTTTAAACTTGACACGAACACGACACGAAAACGAATTCGAATTATGATTTCGTCCCGATTTCGTTTCATGTCGTGTATTTTTGTCGTGTCGTGTCATAAATTGACACCCCTACACACTCCCAAGAAAATTGAGTGACAGAGAGCTGTAATAGTAGCCCATTTACCATAACCTATGTATATCATATCATAAAGAGCTTATATGGTCATATCAATATATCATTAAATTATTAAATATTTAAGAACTTTGGATTTACAAGAAAATAAGAAAAATAATAAATTATTAAAATTGATTTTTTTTATCATTTAAATTTAAATAAATAAACAAAATAAACTAATGAGCTTTAATTTGGAATTTTGAAATAAGAAGGTAAGTTTACTAATGAAATTAATATTAATTTATTACTACATATATTGTAATTATTAGATTAAAGTATTATGTGAAATTTATTAAAATAGAATAAACTCATATGGAAAAGAAATTAATTCAAAATAACTACAAAATATTATTTAACAAATTGAATAAGATTGTAACATATTTGGGTCTATAAAAGAGATGTTAACAAATTGATAACGACTTTATGTCATCTCTTTTTGTTTTGAAATATTTGGGTCTATAAAAAAGATTTTAGGATGTTTTGAAGAAGAAAAAAAAATCATCTCGATTCTTTGTTTCTTTTTAAAAATTTATATAATGTTTTAATATGTGTTTAAGTTTTTTAATTGAATATAAATAAATAAATAAACTTGTTTATGTACCGTTAGTAAACTGGTTTTAAAGATCAATACATTTGTGTCCTTGTTCACACATACCTATTACCTAGTTAAACCCTAACTTAAGAACTTCCTGTGTCTAAGCCAAGTGAATACGATGGACTTAACATTATCAATGATCCGGAAATAGAAAGTTCGTTTGTTTTTTAATACACCTTCACATCTTGTTTTCCATAATATCCACATTACACCAAAACAAACACAGATTAGGTTGTTTCTCCTTCTCCGAAATCTCCCCCACGTTTTTACAAATCCGATAAGTTCCCCGACGGTTTGAAATTGTGGTTTTCGGAATGTTGCACCATTTAAATATCAAATCCCAGACATTGCTCGCCACTGGACAACGTATAAGAATATGCTCCGTATCTTCATCCTCAAGATGACACTGGGGGCATGATGCGTTTATAATTGCGACTCCTCTCCTTTTTAGTGGATTTGAATATGGTAATGCATCTAGAAATTAATATACAAGTCATTATAGCACTTATACAAATCATACTATATATTGAACAACTCAATTGTGAATCCATAAATGAACCTCATAATAACTTGATGAATTCCACAACTAGGCTATGATTTCGAACATTAAATTGCGCTTAAATTCATCATGATTTCCTATAAATATAAAACACATTAAATAAGCTTCAAAATCTCCCCAAACTCCAAAACAAACCATAACAAAGGAGATTTACATGAAGTTTGAGAGTTAGAAGCTAGAATTAACATTAAAAACTTAATAAAATCACCATACTACAAACAACTTCAGGTTTTGTGACTACAACAAACCCTAGTTCGAAATTAAGATTAGAAAAGGCTAGGATTTTTACCTCCAATGTTTTTAAGTGAAGAGTCAAGCTCAATGCTCCACAAATCTCCCTCTAATTGCCTCTCTATATCTCAAATCTCCATCCTCAAACACTTCAAACTCGTCTCTCTCCAAATGGGGAGAAGAGAACTAATTTATGTCCAATTTTTTTGTGATTTGTCAACTATGGTCTCTCTAGTAGCTTCTTTCTTATTCAGCACACCTTTAGACTTAATACATTTAACACACTTTCAAAACTTAACTATGGCCTCATATCTTAAAAGTTATAAACATTTCTAGTCTCAATATGTCAAAACATGGTAAAACCAAGTTTTACATTTTTGTCAATTTTAACCTCTCTTATAAATTTCTACAAATGACATATTTAACTTATGAATTCCGACTTAAACCACTAAATATGAACTAACAACAGTTAAATCCAAAAACTTACGTCGAACTCAAATTCTAAGGTTTTGGTAAAAATAGACCCTCTATCTCAAGTCTTCTTTTAACCTCATATCTTGTGTTCTAAACATCTTGGTTAATTTTAACATTCCCATAAACAAAATTGTTTACTTCCACATTTTATTTTTCATATATTAATATATATATGGTATGCCCAATCTCCATGACTAAGTAGTTCAATACCTATAGTTGCAACTTTCGGGCATTGTGTTTGTTCTTATATATCGGCATCACAGTCTTATATATCTACTCTTCAAACATCTTGGCCTACTTTAAGATAATGTTGAAGACGCTTTTCAGCTATTACGCTCCTTCCTCTCATAGTCATAGCAGCTGATATGAACTTGGTATGAGCCAATGACGTTAAGATGATGTTTAATGAGATTTAACATTAAAAAAAAAAAAATCATTATAAAACATACATTACTGGTGACTTCCAACCCCAACCCACTGCCATTTGCCTATTTAACTTGTATTATATTTTTTGTAACATGAACTCCAGGTTATCACTCGAAAACATAATCATCAAAATTAGTCCAAAATATTAAAAACAATAACCTAAACATAATAATAAATATCAGCCAAATTAATTAAAAAATAAGTAAGTTTGATAGCCAAGACTTGTCTAGTTAACTAACATGGCCTTTGAGAATTTAAATAAAATCATCAACCAATGAGATTGCAAGTCAACACATGTAATTGGAAAATATAGGATCACAGATACAATAACCCGAGTCGAATTTCTTTTAGATCGTCTACATGATATATAATAATCCATTGCAGCGAATTTATTTATTATCGAATATCATATCATCATATACTCAGATGACAATTATTATAGCCAAAGGCATTAAGAAGTCAAAGCTTCTTTTTATAAGTAAAATAAAGACAGCTTTCAGATACCCATGAAAAGGTGATCGCAGATTTATCCTCAATCCTCACGCTTTGTAATTCGTTTCCAGCTCCAATAAGTTTTAGCGGTTCCACATAGACAAATGGGATTAGGATCAGGATCCGGATCCGGGTCAGCACCTCTTCCATTACATAAATTTTCTCCAACAGCTGTCATAATAACAAATATTGCTACGTAAGTTTAAAAAATACATTTAACAAGTTTTAAGTGCTGTTTGATAGTCTCTGAACAGTTAAGAACCCTACCTTCTGAGAAGTCAGAACCATTAAGAGAGATTTTTCAAAAGCGCATACCTCAATGCGAGTTCCGTGAACAAGAAGAATGTCAACACATGCGAGAACTCGCGCCCGGTGCAGGTGCATTACAGGGTTCCCCTGCACCGGCAAGTAGAGGATAATTGATTGCTATTCAGAATCTTCGTATAATTCATCATCTGAGAGCTCATCGAATGAGCGAATGTCCAATTGGTAGCGTAAAATTCCCCCAATTCCACCAAACCCTCTGCAAAATTGTGATCCTTCTTGCGATTTATTCGTCACAAATTCAAGCGTGCAACCGAATTTTCTATATTCATTAGCAAACCACTCGAGTAAAGACATCTTGTCTTGAACTTCTAATTCGACGTTCGTGGTTGCATCACGGAAGTTTTTTTGATTACTCTCTTGCTCTTTGTTGAAATGCTTTATCATTACTTCACCTGTTGTGGTATTCTTGAGAGTATACCTGTTGATATCAAGATTCTCCCAAACGATGAGAATATCAACAGCACCCATCTCAAGTGTCTTCAACGTATCATCCACCCCAAACACGTACTTCCCAGTATCCTGACTAATTTCCTCAAAATACTTCCCAATCAACCGTTTCTCCTGAATAAACTTAACATTCGCAAGAATCTCAGCAGACAACTCAATCGCTTGATTGAACCCGTTTTCGCCTCCATAAGAAACATCCACGACATTCAATATCTTAGCTTGAAGACGCGGGTCAAACATATCCGATTGACTAAGCTCCGTTTTGAAGTCCGCGGATCCCGCAAGTATCAGACCCGAAACATTCGGTTGACTAGTCGAAGGGTTTATATAAAACTGCGTCGCCAGCTCAGCGGTTTTCCTCACATAGTTATGTCGTTTCTCCATTCGTAAACGAGCGAATCTCAACGCCGATTGACCTCCCCTCCCGTGTTTTTTGGGTAAATCGACGCTGAATTTGTGGAGCACTTCGCGTGTATTCCCGCTTAAAGTTCCGAAGAGTGTTCCGTTTCCATCCATGACGATGAATCCGAATTTGTCATCGGATTCTAGAAGTTCGTTTAGGGCTTCGGTGTGGAATTTGTTGTCGCAGAGATATAAGGAAGCGTTGATAGGGCGGAAGGGTTCGAAATCGATGGTGACTTTTTTTTCTTTTCCGTCGTCGGTGACGATGGTTCCGGTGTAGAGAACGAGGCCGTTTGGAGGGACTTTGTTGTAGAGTTTGAGGCGTTGTTGGGCGGAGGTGATTGCGCCTAAAACGGATTGACGGTTTACGCGGCTTTTGATGTTGGAAGCTGTTCCGAATTCGTCTCCGAGCATTTTTGTGACGCGAGAGACTTGGTCACGTGGTGGCATGATGAGAGAGATCATGCTTGTTCCATTGCCACGTGCTGCTTCCAGTGCTTTGATGAGTTTCTTGATTTTCCATATTTCGATGTTTTTGTCGGTGTCGTGAGTGTCCGCCATTGTTGGGTGAGTGAGAATGTGTTCGTAGTTGTAAAAAAACTACCTGAAAAATAGTTAATTTATGGGTTAGATGCAACAATGGCAATGTACTTTCATTGATTTGCTATTTCAGTTTTTTGCATTTTGAAAAATCTATTCAAATCTCGAGTTCTTGAAGATGAAGAATCTGAAGCTTTATATTCCATAGTAATCCCCAAATCCCCAATTTTGCATTAACACATTGTGGTCTAATTAATCAACAGTATAATGCAATACAATTGACAAAAAGATATAGCAAAAAGGACAGAACTAAAATATCAGATAATACATGAAGTATCCAAAATTTCAATAGTTCATAAAGCTTAATCTACAAAAGATTCTTCATTAGGCCATGTTTTAACGATTATAGAGAATATATTTCACTCAAAATTAAATCCCACGAAATTATTTGCTAACATATTAGGAAGAGAAACTGAACTTTTCAAACGTGTACTACCAAAACAAGGATTTTTTTTACCATTTTGATACACATCATCATAAATAAACTTGCTATGTCTTCATATGACTTCTGGTTGTTAAATGATTTACTTCTTGTCGTTTTGGTTGTGAGGAAAAGTTAAGAATCACATTAAACAACCAATTTAAGGGGGTGTTTGGATGTGATGTAAAAAATTTGCAACTTGAATCACAATGATCAGTTTTATGTGGTCTGTAAAACTGATTTTGGGTTTTAGGACAAAAATATTTATTTGGAGAAGAAATTGGTTATGGAGGTCCATAAGTTTAGAATTATCAACTATCCTCAACTTTAATCAACTCGTTACTGATTTTGATTCATGAAAAGGCAAAGATCACTTTGAAATCGCACATCCAAACAACCCTAAAAAGAGTAGTTTTATATCAATTTACACTTTTGAAAGAACTAGGTTGAATTTCCGGGATCAAAGTTTTTTTTCTAACGCCAGAAAAACTAAACCTCTAAAAATCGCAAGAAAAACATCAAAAAAACAGATCTCACAAATTTTCGAACCACAATTAAAAACATGTAGCGCATACTCGATTGTGTTGTTTTCCTCCCAATTACTGGTTTATACATCAAAATTAGAACAAAAATAATAAGATTACGTTCATGCAGACCAACCTGTGATCAGCGAATTACATGAACAGCATACACTACACATTCAGAATGACATAAATCTAGCAATACGATCCACATATAATAAAAATTGCTTACGATCGACGCTAAATAACAAAAAAAATGATTAACAGAATGATCAAATTCAGTTTTGATAGCGTGGATCACCTGAAGGAGAATTTGCAACGATGATTTTTGCGTTTAGATATCTGAAGGAGGGCGAAATGGATTTATACTCGTTGTAGGTCGATTGTTCGTACAATCGGAATCCCCGATCATCACGACTCTTGATGGATGTTCGAAAATCCATAAATAACCTTGGATTCGGGTTTGATATAAACGTGTCACAAGAATGTAGAACTACAGAAAAATAAATATGCCTGTTTAAGTTCGTATGTCCTTCTATAAAGTATTGATGGACGGTTATCGTGCATTATTAATTGCCTAATTAGTTTTTCTATAGTCCAAGTAAAAGTTAAAGAATTTTTTATTTTTATATATGAATTTTACGAACTCATGTATTATTTATTTAAAAAAAATTAAATATGCAGGTCTAAGTTTGAATTTATAAGAATATAAAAAAGATATTGAATAGTTTAAGTTAAAGTGTTTTCTTTTAAATTTAAATAAATAAACAAAGAAATTAATAGGGATTTAACTTAGCAATTTTAAAATTATAAAATTAGAAGATAAATCTATTAATTAAATTGATATTCATTTATTATTATATTTATTGTAATTAGTACATTTAAATATTATATAAAATTTAATAAAATAAAAATAAAAAACTATAAAATGATATGTTGAAAAAACAATAATTTTAAATAACCACCAAATGACATGTGGCAATGAACGAGAATATGCCATATGAAAAAAAAAATTATTTATTATATATATTTTTTTCATTTTATGGTGAAAACTTTCTCAAAAAAAAACTTTTAAAAAAATGTATATCATTTAAAACTTATTTTATTTGCTATGAAAATAATCTTTTGAAAATTCTTAGGACCAAAAAAAAAATTAAAAATGTTTTATGTTTTTTTTTTTTGTTGTAAGAATTTTCAAAGGCCTAAAAAATTGTTTTTTCTATAAAATATACAATATTTTACAGATAATTTTATATGTCAAACTTACAAAGTTCTTTATTTTTTACCCATTTTCACGTGTCAAAACTAAAATATCAAGATTTATTTTGTTATGACTTAGGTGACTTAGGTGTTGTTTGTTTTTTTTTAAAACCACTTCAGACCACTTATTGTTGCGTCGCGCAGCACACGCGCATCACTTGTCCTTTCGCAACTGTTTGTTTTTCGGAAGACTTCTGATTTAAAAACTGTTGCGCGTGTGTTGTGTGGCGCAACACTAAACTAACTGCTTTAAACCTCTTCACGTCTTAGTTTAACTTACTGCAGCGATCTGCAGACATTAAAAAATAAACATATTTTTTATTAAATGTTGCAGCCGTTTGTTCCACCTTTTCTGCTACAGAGGATTGCAGAAGTGGTCCGCAGACTTAACGTATTTTCTCTTCGAAAAAACAAATAGCACCTTAATCAACTCCTTTAGATTAAAAGCACGAATAACTTTGCACCACGAGATAGATTACTTAAGTCAACCCTATCAAAAAGACCATCTTGACCATAAAAGGCTTTTATAACACGCACGATCAAAAAATCGCCATATACAACAAAACTCTATTCAAATTACCATCTTCTTCCCAATTTTTTTTCATAGAGTTCTCTTGATGTTTGTTGCTTAAACAATTGTATCCAATCGAATACAGACCATCATACTCTTTAGTTTCAAGTTTTTTTGTCGTTTACGACAGCAATATTCTTTTGTTAGGGTGTTTTTCTTACATGTTAAAAGAAAATAGGGGGCATGGCCCACCCGAGCCCCTTCATAGTTCCCTTGCGGACATATTTCAGAATATCATTTTTTATAACAGCAATAAATGATTGGACAAATTTGTCAAAATGGTTTTAGTGGAAGTACATAGCTTGAAACATGTTTGATGTTCATTGGACCACAACAAGGACTAAGTTTTTCTGAGATAGGACAATTCATCACAGGATTGGACTAAGTTGTCGTTGACATTGGTTTCAACTCCAATCCAATATATGCCAAACGCGATACAAGTTGCATGCATATGAGACAGAAACAAACTAACATATGATACAACTTGGATTAGTGAAGACACTTAGATTTCAAAGAAGAAAAAAGGAAAAACAAAACAAGTGAATATTAGACGATAGCAAACTACAACCAATCAGCAAGATTTTTTTTCAAGGTATACAACTTTCAAAGCTAATAACCGAAACCCAAAAGAAACTATGAATATACACGGTATCAGCTTTCAAGAACAGCTAGAAAACCTACAATGAATTTACATATTCATCGACATCATCAACCCCGAAAAAACAGGAAACAATTTAACGGACGGGAGATGACGTGGCGAAAACCCAACAAATCGAATTAGGAAAATTCATTTACATACGATGATGTTTCTACATGTCACTGTGCCAAGTCATCACTTGCGACACCTACACTTGATTTATCAGCCAATCGAACATTATATTGTTGATAAACTCTCGCACGGTTCTCGGCCCACCATTGCTCCGCTTGTTTCTCACTGAATCGCTTTCGACTGCATTTTATTTTTAAACCGTTAAAAGACGGTCATAATATTATTTTTCATTGAGGGTATTTTCGACTTTTTACATAATAGTAGTCGTGAGTTTGCCATGCATTGGACCGAGACTGAAACCGATGCCAATAAGAAAAAAATTACATTTTTTTTGTCGCATCCAAAAAGGTGGGACAAGGACTCGCTCTTGATATCTCGTATGTGGAAAAAGACGTAAATACCCTCCTCATCCGCATCATTGATGATAGCCCTAGAAAACTTGTCTGGTCAGGTACAGTCCAGTCCCGTGTAACGGGACCGGACTAGATGGAACTGGAAATGCTTTCCAGGGCTATTTTCAATGATGAGGATGAGAAGGGCATATTTACGTCTTTTTCCACATACGAGATATCGAGAGCGAGTCCTTGTCCCACCTTTTTGGACGAGACAAAAAAAATTGTAATTTTTTTCTTATTGGCATCGGTTTCAGTCTCGGTCCAATGCATGCCAAACGCAGTATAACTGGAAATCATTTTTCCAAAAAGGGTAAAATACAGAAAAACACAACATATTTTCACTGAAAAAAATGGAAAGGTAAAATAGCATACCTGAAGCGGACTCGTTTAAGATCTTTAATACCTCCAGGCAAGGACGTAAGCGTAATATAAACACCAGGTTCATCTTGCTCAACCCATTCATCATCACTTCTGCCACCATTTCTTGCTGCTGTTGCTTCTGAAACAGCTGTTCTGTTTATGATGGAACTTGATCCATTTAATACCAACTGAGTGTTTTTATATGCTGGTGTTTGAGTTTGACCATTAGGCTGGTCAACTGAGGAGTTTATTAAGACATCATTGAAAGAAAGATTGGATCCGAAAGAAGTGAAGGAAGGAGATCTTATGTCTCTTGTAGTTCCTACTGGTAGCCTTTCTGCCATGTCTTTCAGCTATTTTAACATACCAAAATAGAAACAAAAAATATCAGTTGAAAAGTCCAACAACGTAAATTTAATAAAGGGTAAATTAAGAAAATAGCAATGTAGGTTTGTTTGTGTATGAAAAGTATTGTACTTTTTTTTTTTTTCTTCCAATTATATCATTGTACTTTGAAAATTCTACCGAATTATAGCAATGTTTTCACTGATATAATTGGGAAGATTTTTCAAAGTACAATGATATAATAGGAAGAAATGCAAGTATGATGCTATAATAAACAAATCAATGGAATTATGTTGCTATTATTTTTGCATTTAACCCTATTGAGGGAAATGTAAACACCATGATATTTTAGTATTATAGCATCATACTTCCATTTTGTTTGATTAGAGTATTTCACTTCTAATATTTTTCTTAATAAGGCACTTTACTTTGATAAAATATACCCAATTATAAAACTGCAGTTTCAATTTATTTTTTTCTTATTATGTTATTATACTTTGAAGATTTACCCAATTATAGCAATGAAAATTGCTATAGTTTATTAATAAGAAGAAATGAAAGTAGGATGCTATAATAAACAAATCAATATAAGCAAGCAACTTTTTTCATGTGGAGGCATTGTACATTAAACAATCTACCAAATTATAGCTTTATACTTTCAATTTATTTCCTTATTAGGACATCATGCTTTGAAAAATCTACCCAATTTAGTAAGTTTTTGGATGAAATTCTTATAATTGGATAAAATTTTCAAAGTACAATGCTATAATAGAAAGAAATGAGAGAACGATGCTAAAATAAACAAATCAATGAAAGTAAATTGCTATTTCTTGCATTTACTCCCAAGAAAATTCATCAAACAAACAGGAATTGGAAATTGAAAGAGTTTAATAAGATTAATCTTACTTGTGCTGTAAGTGATTTGATGACTTCTTTTGCAGCCTTGCATTTTGAGCTTTCATCCCCTGCAATTGCTATTGCCTCCTTCAGCTGTTTAGAAGTTCTTTCCAGCTCAACCTCTTGAAGTTTGGCTTTTCGGGTTAGACTTTCAACCTGATATCACCAAATCAAATATAACATCCAAGAAAATATCCTCCTTTCTTATTTCCATTAACAAATTCATAAAGAAGGAAGAATCAAAATGCTATGTAAATGTTGCACTAAGTGGATGAGTGACAGAGTGAGTACATATAAAAAAGCAAAACAAGTAATATACACATACCTGTGCTCTTAGTTTAGTTACTTCTTGATTGAGGTTATCATTTGTCCTTTTAGCATCATCCACAATGATCTTTGGTGAAGATAATCCGGCCAAAGTTGGTGTTGGGGTGGTGGACCGAGGTGGGCTGGCCCGCCTCGACACCGGAGAAGTTGCCCGAGACACCATTCTTGAACCAGGGACAGAAGCGGAAAAAAACTTTTTAGAAGACCCAAAAACCGGATTAAAAGATTTAGAAATATTAATCCCTCCCCATTGAGAGCTTCCGGAAGGAATAGGCGAAACACGACTGCTACTAAACTCTAGTTTCTTATTCCTCTTTGAAGAATAACTTTCCAACGGTTTCATCGCTTCCATAGAAGCAAACCTCGCGAGCCGAGGGCGAGATCGTAATTCTGACCTATCATCTTTATCATTTTGCTCGTTAGGGTTTATACTCGCTCTTCTCACGGAAGACACTGAAGAGGCATCGGTTTCGATAGCTTTTTTCAATTTATTAACACAATTATCACAAACCCGATAGGGTTTATTCGGGTTAGGTGCCATGGATGCCCTTAGTGACTTCTTGCTACTACAAGAATGACAAAAAACAAGACCACAATTGTAACAATTATGTCGCTTTCTTTTGAAATTAAACGGAAGGCGACACCCAGAACACATAGACTGATCAACTCCAGACACCCATTTATGAAGACATATAGCTGCAGTAAAATTTGTCCCACAAGCAATCCCTTTCACTTGTTTATCTTTCAAAGCTTCAACTAAAGTCGGGTAATTTCTATCATCTGTATCTCCATGACCTAATCGCCCATTCGCCCCTTTCCCCCATGTGTAAACCTCCGTCCTCGAAGTCAAAACCGCAACATGATGGGCCCCACAAGCGATTTCCTCCACAAAAGATTTTAAAAGTTTACCTTCAATACGAGCGGGCAGCTTCCCGTCAGCATTCGGGTTCCCGAGCTGCCCGTAAACCGGACTGCCCATCGCGTAAACATGCCCGGAAGTTGCGAGTGCGAGTGTCATGCTATGCCCACATGCCACCTGGCAAAAATTCGGGTCCACAAGGGCAGCAACACAAGTGGGAACTAGTTTAGTTTCTTTATCCCCGTGCCCTAATCGACCTTTATCCCCATCACCCCATGTAAAAAGCTTCCCGGAAGAACAATTACTAGAACTCGAATTCCCAACCATAATTTCAACAATAGCAGCAGTATGCCACGCACCACAAGCCGCCCTTACAGTTCTCAACCCTTTAAGCGACTCAACTTCTTTAGGTTTCAAAACACTTTTCTTATCCCCGTGTCCTAACACCCCGAAAGTCCCGTCTCCAAAAGTAAAAAGTTGACCCGCGGAGGTCACCACCGCAGTATGCCACGGCCCGCAAGAAATGGAGGACACATGGATACCCTCTAATGACCCATTTACCCTTTTCGGAACCCAGTGTGAAACTTCATTGTCATGTCCGAGTATCCCGAAATGCCCTTCCCCCCATGTGTAGAGGTCACCGGATAAGGTAACTGCACATGTGTGATACTCCCCACATGCCACTAACTCGATGTTTGTGTTACTAAGGGCATCGATGAGTTTGGGATGCAGGACGTTTGAATCGATTCCATGTCCTAAACGACCGCCTAATTCTTCGCCCCATGAAAAGATTTCGCCTTGTTTTGTGACTAGCGCGGCGTGGCGGCCGCCACACGCGATGTTTTGGACATCGAGGACTACTGCGGATTCTAGAGGTTTGGGTAATAAGGAATCGGTTTTGGTACCGGATTTGTGGGGTCCGCAGACGTCTCCGGTGATTTCGCCCCAGATGAAAACGTCGCCCATGGCATCCCCGTCGTCGTGGCCGGAGCCTTGGCTTGAGGAGCTTACGGCACTTGAGAGGCTTACGCGGAAGGCGTCTACACCCATTCGGTTGAAATGAGTGTGCATGGTGTCGGACCCACCGGATGATGGTGAGTGGAAGGACCCGTTGGAAACGGGAGGGAAGAAGCCTTTGGGTGGGAGTGGGACCTTGTATGGAGCCATATCTGGGAAAGATAATGCCTTTGGAGGGCTTCCGAATGGACTATGAAGACTAAGTTGATCAATGGTTTCCTGAAATGTAACATAATGTGAGGATGGAATGGAATATGGTCTAATGGAATGGAATGGAATGATTGCTAACATTACATTATCATGTTTGGTAGGCTTGTAGGAATGGAATGCATCTTTCATGTAAGCTTTTAGTGTAGAGTTTAATACTATTCTATGTGGTATTTAATCATTATTATAGAATTTATTAGTTACAAAAATAACGATTAAAGATAATAAAAGCTCATTAAAACATTAAAAAACTATTATTAAACACTATCATGGGTGAATAAGCAAGGTAATGGAACGAATCATTACACTCCATGATCATGTTTGTTTAGCTTGTAGGAATAAAATAATTTTCATATGGATTTTTTGTATAGTATGTAAATACAATGTATAGTTTTAACTCTATTCTACGTGTTAATTATAATTATTGAAGTTTTTATTTACATAAATAAAGAACTAAACATGTTAAATTTCATTAGAAACCGAAATAAAAATGTAATCAAAAAAATATTCTTGATTATTTTTAGGAAAGAAAATTTATGAATGATTAAAATCGTAAAATTTCTAAAAAAAAAAGATGTCTTAGAAGATTATGTAAATAAAAATGGGTTATATTGCAACTTTTCACAAAAATAAAAACACCATTTTGCTAACAAAAGAAAAGGATTGACATCTTTCAAGAATGGTCCATTCCATCAGCCTAGTCAAAAGAAACAGATTTTATTGATTCGTATAGAATACAGTCATACACCATTCCATTCCTTCTGTGATTCCATCATTAGGATCAAGTGTTGTATGGATAAATGATGTTTATAAAGTATTTGAGGAAAGAAGGAAGAAAAATAAATAAGGGCAAATTTGTAAAAGGTTAGGACTTAATAGGGAACGAGTTTTTCCATCAAGTCTTATTCTTTCTGATTAAATCAAAAAGGAGCTGTACCTTCTGTGAGCTATTTCCACTACCAAAAGGAGAATGTAAAGGGGAGCTTCTTTGTGTGTATGTCCTGGGACTATTAGCTTCAGATGGGATTTCATCACTCCTTGATTCTGTTCTCCAATTTCTCTGATGCCCACGTGATATTAATGCTTTAAGCCCACTAAACCATACTTCAGCTTCATCCTTGTCCTTACATATCTAATTAGACAAAATGAATTGCAAGAATATAAATAGAAACTCACAAAACCTATTGCTAATTGGCATACAAAATGCTAGCAATAGTGCAAAAAGAATCAATAATCAATTGCAAAGAGAGATGAAAATCCTACCAAATCCAGAGATCTATCGCTGTATATTAGTGAAAACGATTGGTATTCCTTCTCGGGACGTGGATACCTTTGAAAGATTGGCTAAACAACAAAGTGAAATCATAGTAAATATTCATAATAACAAAAAATATATATATAATTTAATAAGGTAAGATGTCAGATGGCATATTATGTATTGGAATTTTGGAGCTACTCAAGCTGTATGTTTTATACTTTTGAGTCAACAAGAAATTGTTATTGTTTTCAATTGTGATGCCATTTTTTATTTCTTGAATGGGTTTTTAGGATATTCTCCTCAAATTAGAATAACTAATCGTGTAAAAATTAAAATTTGCAAATGAAATTACTTACAGTTCGCTGCCCTGATACAATTCTGGTGACATGACTTAGTCTAAGGTGTTTTTCCTCTTTCCCAGAAAACCATATCAAAATAGACTCATCCTGAAATAGCATATAGAAAAAACAGTATCATTGAAACTGCAAACTATTGATAATTACAGTTACAAAGAGATTGGTATTGCCTTTACATTTAAGAACACATGTTCCAGACGTTCACAACAAAAACACATATTGTTCCTTTTGCTTAAAAGATAATAGGAAAGAAAGAAAAAAAAAATCATGATTTTAAGTGCATTTATTCTATCTCCATAAAAGTGGAAGGTAATGAAAGAATAAACAATATATACACAGAATGAAGGCACTTGTGTGACTTTTACTCTAAACTTATTAACGAAATACCAAGTAGAATGCATTAAATCAGCGATAGTAGCTAAGAAACCTAGTCATACTAGGACAAAAAAGAATGAAAATCCGATAAATGTTGACGCAAACATAAAACATATTAAATGGAAACATAATAAAGAAATACATTGGTGGAACTTCATGAAAGATAAAAGTCAAACTTACATTAGCCAACCTGAAGGGACAAAACTTAGGCTTCCCTCTTCTTCCATAATTTGAGAAGATAAGCCCCTTTCTTCAGAGCAGTAATGGCCTGTAGTAAATATCACTCAAGACGTTAAGTTAAAGAGAATTCACCACATTTTCTGCTACAAAAAAGAGATTTATAAAACATGCATCTAAACATCCACCAGAAAGTAAGAGATATAGCCTATAGAGAAGTATTGTCACTTGTTAGGGATATGATAGCAGATGGTATTAGAAAATAGAAAAGGCAAAAGTATCAACCATTAGCAGAAGTCAATATTTAACCTGACAACTACAACTTTCTCTGTTATTGCTAACAGTCACTCGTTGATCATACAAGAAAGTTACATGCATTATGCATATTAGGAAGGAAGTTGAGAGCTATAGAAACCTCATACTTCACAGAGTATATTAAGGGAAGGGTATGTTCTACACCATTAATGATTGACTAAATTTTGAAGTTGTCCTGCTAGAATATGTCATCTCCTCATTGAGCATTGATCAAAAATTCGTTATTATCTTCTGTTTTATTAAAAGCATACTATAGTAAAACAATTTTCCCTAATTTCAAAAGGACTCACTTGCATCAAATCATTTGACGAAAGCATATAAAGTCCATTATTAAGTAGCATACATTACATTCCAGCTTCTTTGCAGTTTGCATTACCTTTGTATTTTCAAAAAATGGTCAAATCATTGTGCAGTGAGCAATAATTGTTCAACTAGGCGATAAAAACTCAGCAAGTGATGCAAAGTGATATGATGCTTATAAGTTGTTCATTCTATAACATTAGTGTGGGAACGTTAAAGCCACACACGATTTGAGATCACATAAACAGCAAGTAATTTACCCGGTGTTTCAAGTGTTAACATATGCCTACGCATTTGATTAGCAAACAATCATAACTCTACAATAATATCCGGAAGCTCAGACAATGTTGTAATTGATTTACCTGCTCGATGTCCCTTTCAACTTGCCCACCCGTCCTACTAACATCTGAACTCATCCTCTGTCTACAACAACGATATCAAAAAACCACACAATCCAGACTTACGTACCAGTCTCTACTGTAATAATCAACCTCATTTTTCTTCTTAAAATGCACAAAAGCTCCGAAGCTCGTTCATCAAATTAATCGCAATCTGTAATACAATCCACGTAGTTCATTGACCTGAAAAAATTCCGAACGAGCATAAACGATTGAAAAACCTTTCAATTGCCCTAATTGTTCGAATTGAAGGATAGGAGTCGTGCTCAAATGGTATCAATCATCAGCTAATTTGAGATGGAATCTTTTTTGCAACTTCGAGGGTTTTGACAGCTCCTTTAGGTCGAGGTGTGTGCGTGATATTGTGTGCTTACGGATGTAATTGAGAGCTCAGATCAGCATGGAAAAAGAGAACCGAAAACCTAGGAAATGGCTGGTTGATCTGGTCACCAGGAGTTAGAACGCAGGAAGAAAGAGAAAGTAGAGGGGAAGAGCCTGGGGGTGGACTTAAAGCAGTGTTAGAAAGGGGGAAAATAGTACTCTTTTAGTCATAATCAAGGTTCAATCCATGGATTATACGGATAAAGTTTTGTTTATTTTGTTTTATTTTTTTTTTATTTTTTTGGTTCATTAAACCACTTTTTCAGAGAAGCTAAATAAAATGACCACAGGTATTCATCATAAAGGACTCTTGCTTTATACTTTCGGACTCGTAAGAAATTAATATTAGCATCTTCTGTATACAAATGTTATGAATTTAATAGTAAAGGACCTCACTATATACTAACTTATCGCATGCGATCAAAGGGCTTCTGACCTAGCGGTATCTGGTGTTCTCCTTCCTCCTTAAGGTCGATGGTTCAAGTTCCGTGAAGGACGTAGGTGGAGAATTAGGAGTAGATTAGATTTGTCGTTCAAAAAAAAAAAAAAAAAAACTTAGCGCATGCGATTGTTATTCATGATTGATATATCAATATACTTGACATAATTAGGATTCTATTGGACGGATTATAATTAATTAAAAATGGTGTGTACGTTTTCAAAGATCTAGGAAATCTATAAATCTATAAATTGGTTATATAAGGATTATAATTGTTATTCACTCATATATCATATTTTTGGAAACGGCGAATATTGTATTATAAATAAAAGGCCAACACAAGTAGTAAGCAACTATTTGTGGGCAGTTACAAGAGAAAATACAAAGATTTTAACAAAATTGAGATATACTTCAATCTAGCCACCTACAATTTAATTCCAAAGTTATGTATCTGAACCAAGCATACATTTGTGATATAACCTCGTCTGCAATCATAGTTAGGATCGGTTTCACCGCCTTAAAGATGGAATTATTTCTGGCCAACCATAAAAACCAAAGCATCGCATAAAGCACCACCTTGAATCTCTCCCTTTTTCTTGGGCAGTTCCCCCATGTAGCTGCGAAATTGAGAAATTCATTTACCGTGTCAAAGTTAGTAGCTGGAATGCCACGCCATTTGAAGATCCAAGATCTCGCCTCGATTGATATTGGACATTTAACAAATAGATGATCGCTTGTTTCATGTTCGCCATTGCACATGGGGCAATTTGTGTTTGCCATAATAATACCCATGTTCATTAAGTTTGTTGCTAGCGACAGCCTATCCATTAATGTTCTCCAAACGAAACATTTAACTTTCAAAGGGCTTGCTTTTACCCAGTTGATTATTGTGCCAGTGTGAGGGTTTTTTTCGGAGTCTATCTTTTGTCTTAGGGTATTAACCGTGTATTTTCCGTCTGGATTTAAGTTAAAGCGGAGTCCAATTGGTGTAGGATTTGTATTAACCCCTTGAATGAAGGAGCATAACTCCATGAAATCATCTAGAACCTCCCCGTCCATATTCGCCGATTTCCACCTCCATTTGAAACCTGTTTGATCAATTCTATCTGTTATTCTACACAATTTTTTAGACTCCATAGCATAAATTCTGGGAAAACGCTCCTGTAAGGTTAGAGAGCCACACCATCGATCTTTCCAAAGCAATATATTAACATTTGAGCCAGGAATTAGAATGAAGATTTCCTGATGATTGATGTCAAATTCAGGGAGAGATTTTATTGCCTTAGCAATATTACACCAGGTACTGCCTAGTGAGGCATTAGCAATATCGTTGACTGGCTTGTTTGACAAGTTGTGAATATTGTTGATGCACTTTCACCATAGCCCTCCCGATATTGCCTTCAATCTCCACCACCATTTCGTAAGCAATGCTAAATTTTGAGCTTTTAATGATCCCACCCCAAGGCCATCATCCTTCTTAGAAGCTACTACTTTTGACCATGAGACCCAATGAATTTTGCGTTTGGAATCGTCCCCACCCCACAAGAACCGTCTTCTCAGTTTTTCAAGATCCTCTATAATGCCAGATGGAGCTTTGAATAAGGAAAGATAATAAGTTGGGAGAGTATTTAGGACTGATTTGATAAGGGTAATTCGCCCCCCCCCCCCCCCCGAAAGAAAGAGTTTTGGCTTTCCAAGTTGATAAGCGTGTTTGGAATTTGTCGATGATTGGCCTCCAATGTTTCTTCAATGACATATTAGCACCAACTAGGATGGAAGTGAACTTCTTTAGCATCCCAATATTTGAGCTTGTGATTGCAGTTCATAATCCGAAACTCCAATACCAAATAATCTGATTTGTGAAAATTGACTTTCAGCCCTGAGCATATGTGAAAGCATTTTAATATTCTGGCGATTTTTAATGCTACTCTTATTCCAATCACCAAGGAATATGGCATCGGCTGCGTAAAATAAGTGTGAAAGGGTAGGACCGTTATGTGGTAATGAAAGGCACTGGATAAGTGCTTTTTCCAAAGCTATTTTGATTACAATATTTAGCCCCTCCATTATGATTATGAATAGAAAAGGTGATAGGGGGTCTCCTTGTCGAACTCTTTTTGATAAGGCAAATTCCTTCGTTGGGGATCCATTGACAAGTACAGATGCCCTTGATGACGATAAACAATTGTGAATAAGTCAATAAGATTTCTCCATTTCTGACTGAATCCCATTTGTTCCATTGTGGATTCTAGATAACCCCAATTTATTGAATCAAATGCTTTCTCAAAATCAACTTTGAAAAGAAAGATTTGTTAATTGGTCCTTTTTGCCCAGGCTATAACTTCGTTGATAACTAGGGGGCCTTCAAGTATATGTCTACCTTCAATATATGAAGATTGAACCTCATTCACAACCTCACCAATCACCTGTTTTAGCTGTGAAGCTAGGATTTGGGAATTTTGTACATACATCCGATTAAGCTAATCAGCCTATAGTCACCCAAGCTCATTGGATCCTTTATCTTTGGTATGAGAGTAATAAATGAGGAATTGTATCCTCTTGCGAGCCTTCCAGTTGATTTGAAACGAGCAACAAACCTGAAGATATCTTGTTTAATGAGGTCCCATTTCTTTTTTAACACTTTAAACGTATATCCATCCGGTCCAGGAGATTTTTCTCCCCCACAACACCAAATCGCTTGTTTGATCTCGTCAGATGAAATTGGGGCGTCGAGGATCGAACAATGTGTAACATCCCGGAATAGCAAGAGTAGAGTTGAAGGGCTAAAAGTGTAAGTTATGGAGGGCAACTCGGCGAGTCCATGGATGGACTCGGCGAGTAGGGTCGCGACTTTGGTCGCGTGTCAAGTGGCCTACTCGGCGAGTCCAAAGATGGACTCGGCGAGTAGATGCTGAGTGGAGAAAAACCCTAATTCTCGGGGTTGAGCTCTATATAAAGAACATTATGTTTCCTCCCCAACCTCTTTGATTCCCCTTGAGCCCCATAAACCCTAATTTCGTGGAGGAACACCATTGTTGGGCAAATTGGAGCTTGGAGAAGTGCTAGTTGAAGAAATCTTGAAGGAGAAAAGGCTTGGATCAAAGGGTTTTGCTTGGATTCGAGTTTCATTGCTGTTGGGGCATTCTTTGAAGGTAATATCTTGATCTTGAGCTGCTATTGTCTATATTCTTCATTTTTGGGGGTGTTGAGATCACATCTATTGGTGTTTTGGAGTCTAGAGGTTAAATCTGAGGTTGCTACCTCAGATCTGGAATAGAGAAGGGTTGGAATGCCTGAAAGTCCCTGTGATTGAGTATGTAGTGAAGCTATCTTGTCCCAAACCTTAGCCTTAATGTGTATAATGCCTAGATCTTCATGGATTCACGTAAAGTTTGCCACTTTACGTGATGGATGGGTTGTAGGAGGATAGATCTATGTTTTGGATCAATTGCATGGCCTGGGATGCTTATGTATGGATTCAGACCGATGGTACTCGACGAGTCACAAGGGTGGACTCGACGAGTTGCTTGAAGATGAGCTGGAACTCGGCGAGTTGGATGAACAACTCGGCGAGTAGGTTGAAGATAGCCTTAGACTCGGCGAGTTTGTTCTTGGACTCGGTGAGTCTTGTCGAAGAGTCCCAATATTTTTTTGTTGAGTCGAGAATCGGTGAGTCAAGGGATGACTCGGTGAGTTGGGTGCGAGTAGACTCAGAGTGGTTGGACTCGGCGAGTCTCGGGGTGACTCGGCGAGTCAGGTCGCGGATTGAGGGAAGTTCTGAACTTGGGGACTCGGCGAGTCATCGGGTTGACTCGGCGAGTAGAGTCAGTCAGGGGTTGACTTTGACCTTGTCCAAGGGTTGACCAGTTGTCTTCCAGGGGTATTTTGGTAAATAAGGGTATATATTGAGTTGAGTGTTTTGGTGTTCAGTGGAGGAGTTCGTGTCGGAGTTCGGAGCAGCGGGATCTTATCCTTTCAGCCGACAGTTTCGAGGTGAGTTATCCTCACTATATCAACAGGGTCTAAGGCGCCAAGGTCGGCCCTTTATTGGATTGAGATTCGAGTATGGTTATTATGTTATTGTTTGATATGTCTGCATCCTGGTAGCTAGGATGGTATATGCTGGAGACCTAGTTAAGGTCAGTTTCCCAATATGTAGAGTGATGTTATGCTAGTGACCGGTTAGGTCGGTAATCTGGTTAGGGTAATGATATGCTATGTGATCTGCTTGCTCGGTTTGTTGACTATGACTGTTATATGATTGTATGTTATGTGCACATGGTTGTTTGGACTGGAGATGGGTTGAGGCGGGTCCTGCTTTGTGTTGTAGGCCAAGATACCCAGGGCGGACCGGTTATTCCGAAGGCCCAGCGAGCGGTCCGGATAGGCTGTAGGCCCCACGAGGGCGGACCAGACGTGCCGAGGCTTGGAGAGTGGACCAAGCCGACTGAAGGCCCAATACGGCGGACCAGTCACACTGTAGACTCAGAGAGTGGACCAGGTGGGTTGAAGGCCCGGTGCGGGCGGACCAACCACACTGTAGACTCGAAGGACATGACTAGACTCGGAGGGTGGATCCGGTGGACTGAAGGCCCGATACGGCGGACCAGTCACACAGTAGACCCGATATGCATGGCTGTTCTATGTTCTGTTATGTTATGTATGCTTTTTATGCTATGGGCCGGAAGGCAATATGTTATGGGCTGGAAGGCAATATGTTTGGGACCGGAAGGTCGTAGCCTGGAAGGGCGTATATGTGGTTGGTATTTTGGGGGTATCTCACTAAGCTTCCGGGCTTACAGTTGTGGTTTAATGTTTTTCAGGTTCTTCGGGAGACTGTGGCAAGGCAAAGGCGTGATCGTACCGTCCCTCGCGTTTATGTTTTATGAAATGGACCTGGGAATATTCTGATAAATAATGTATTGAAAACCTTTTTGTAATAAGTTAATGAAATCTGATTGTTTTTGAAAATTTTTAAATTAGTTGGACTTTTCGGTCGTTACAAGTTGGTATCAGAGCCTTGGTTTGAGTGAATTGGAGGAACACTTGTGTGACTCGAGTCTCAAATCGAGGAGGGTTTTCAAAAGAGAATTTAAAATGGTTTTCAAAATAAGTAAAGGAGGACACGGAGGTACGATCAGCCGGAGCCAGTAAGTAACCCCAAATTACCATTCATGACATTTGTTTATTTGAGCTTTAATAGAACAACATGCTAGTGATAGGCTAGGGATCTTCAGGATTTCATGATAATGTTTCCTGTTATGTGACATCTGTTAGCCTAGGGTTCCTCTATTGAGGGTTCCAGTGTTCCTCTAGGAGTGAGGATCGAGCGCTTGCTATGTATATTTGTCACTAGGGTGTTGTGGTAGTACTTCATGCAAATATAGGTAGGTGTGGAAGGTAGTATGGGCCCGTACTACTGAAAGCACAGGACCCATACGCGTATCAGGGAAACCATGACCTCTAGGGTTGGGTTGAGAGTTGGTTCCCGGGATAGTGGGGGGTGTCTGAGATTTTGGTGTTTTACTTTCAGTATGGAGATTTCAGGGCATGCTGGGAGTGGATCCGGGTCAGGATCAGGAGCAGGAGAGGGAGTTCCGGGTGGGTCCGTACTGCCCGAGGTTGTCGGTCAGATGAGTACGCACGAGTTGGATGCGAGGATTCGTGAGATCCTGCATGATGAGGTTGCTGCATTGTTCCGGGCTGAGCTGCCGGAACTGTTTGGGTCGATCAAGACCGCCATGGTGGAGTATTTTGATGAGCGCTATGCGGCTCCCACGGAGACGGCTGCCGCAGCGGCTACAGCGGCTGTAGTAGCGGCAGGGGGAGAACCTAGTAGAGGTTTTCAGTATTGGGACTTCGATAATACGAAGCCTCCCACCTTCGATGGAGTTCAGGATCCGATCGTTGCTATGAGATGGCTATCAGACGTGGAGGGGTGTTTCTTCACGTGTTCATGCCCTACTGATCAGAGGGTGAGGTGTGCTCTGAACCTGTTAAGGGTCGGGGCAAAGGATTGGTGGAGATTGACCACGGCGTCATACTCGGATGCGCAGAGGGCTGCGATTTCATGGGATCAGTTCAGAGAGATGTTCAGCACTCGCTATGTTCCGCAGGTCGAGAGGGAGAGGTTGGCT